ACATATATATATATATAGGTTTATCATTAAACCACAACAGCCGGTGGTCATCTTTCGCGATAATTCGCCTGAGCTTAACTGTTGTAGCATCGGATTATTCTCACGAGGAGAGACAGTCATATGAAGTTCAATCAGAGGTTATGATCACTTATACACCGCAGAAAACAAACCCCTGACCTGCAAGCGACCTTCCAAGCGGATCTCTCACAATTCTGTAAACTTTTTTGTTCTGTTTTATACCTTGTATAATTACATCTCAGTCACTGTGTACAACGAGATGCTCGTACCAGCATCTTAACGAAAAATTTGGAATGAACTGCTAGTACGTTGCATCTGACTCGTGAAATAAATATCCCCATCCATTCTTCAGAGCAGCTTAACCGTTGCCATCGAAAGTTTGCGGTGCTTAAAAATGTTTTAAATGTTTTACTAGCATAATCATTTTTGTGCAATTTGTACGCTACTCTATCTACTTATGAAATTCAAATTAAAGCTGAAAACAGATGTATGCCGTTCCTCACTCACTCACTCTGCCAGTCAATCACTCCACAAAAACACACACACATACCGATCTGATATACTAAGTTCAGTAAAGTAGAAAACAGCAGTTATTTACATTGAGTCCTATTTTCCCGCAGATTGATGATTGTCGTTCCAAACGAGAAGTGTTGTTTTTCCTCTGTGGGAATAAATCCGACAAAGCCAAAGACAAAGCGCTCGATCCGGTTGAATTAGCCAGATGGACGCACACAGAAAAAGGTGAGTGTATGGGAAGCTTTTTCTTTTTACTTCACTTTGTGATATATATTGTTATATTGTTATTATGACAAAAATGCCCTTCCTGGGTACAAGCATATGAAAGAACTCACAAAAGATTACCGGATACGCATGCCTGACGAGCGGTGAGAACAGCGAAACCGGTCGTGTGCTTCCAGTTTTCAGGGCGGGTGAAGTGGCTAATCAAAGGGTTATCATGCGTAGAAAATGGAGAAAGTTAGGTGGCGTTGGTTTTCGGATTCAATAATTTGTTAGTTTGGTAATCGCTTGAACATCGCGCATTTCGTGGCACTGCTGTTGTTCTTCTTCCTGTTTCGGCCTTGCTTAGATTTATGTGTACAAACAAGCGGTAGGCATCTCTGCTGTCGTCCGGTTCAATACCACGCCTGACCTATCAAGGCCTTATGTGGTTCACCACTCCACGTCCCGGGGTTGCCGGTTTCCACCACTGAACGGCAGGTCCTCGTGACCATGGGGTTCGCCCCGTCTGCTGTGTAAAACACTTCGGTGAGTAATAAAAGAAAGTAATAAAGAAAATTGTTTTCATTTGTCCATTGCCACACATTGTAAGGACAACTCAGTAGCAAGCAAGCCAGCTCGTTTGGATGATTCACCCACTGGCTACAACATCACAATGTGTATCATAGTTGCATGTAGGACAAAGATTGATCATAGACTGAGAGAAAAAGGTCTTCCATGCCCTTATGTTGGTCACATTTAGGTCATCGCACATAAGCATTAGTTCGGTCATTGAGGGTTATGAGAGGACAGGAGGGGAGAGTGTGGTGATTGTCATGGAGGACTGAGTGTTTTTACGAATTACTTTTTGGAGCAGAGATTATGTAGTCGGACTCCCACTACTTTTCCTTCGATCGACGGCTGTGAGCGAAGTAGACAAGGCGAAAATCGTCGACCGCCCCCGCCATTTTTGTGATGTCGCTTGCTCGGAGCACACAGCTATCAAATGATGCGGCGCGTAAATTTATCAAATATCCATTGGTATCACGTACGCGTAATGAACTTTGGATATACGTTTACGGTGTGAAACGATGAAAACATGCCCATAATTTCACTGTTTCATGATCTTTCGTTAGATCTGGTTCCATTCCTAGTCGTTACCATGTATGGTGTTGTATGTATCCATATATATATATATATGTTTATATAAGATAAATATATTTCACACACTGAGGCCAGACTGTGTGCCAAACAAATCGTAGTACAATAATCTTTATAAAAAAAGAGCGTTCCACGATTTGCATGAGGGCCGAATACTGCCAAGTTGCCCAGGCCAAGACAGATGAACTATCTTGAGCAATCCACAACCGGAGCCTTCGGCTAGCCAACGCCTGACTCGCAACAAAGCAGGGCGATGTGTGAAAACCGTAATTCATGGGGGGGGGGCGGTGTCCAGTTCATCGGATCGTACACCCTCTGTATGGAGTCAAACGTCCAAGGTGCCTAATACATCTTGATACCCAATCGAGCCGGTGACCACTGCCACAACCAAGAAGGTGTGTGGTACTTACGCTTCTTCTTGTTTGGTTTGGAATCAGGGTTTTTGGCCAACTCCCCTAGGTGAACTGCCAGTGGTCCATCAACCCGGTTATAGCCCCGGATGTCGGTTTTTCGTTCTCTCACTTTGATGGGAAAACACCTCTGCCACGAGAAAACAGTGAGTGGAGCTTCCTCAGCAGAAGCTATTTGAGACGCTTAGTCGTACGGGAGCATTTCTCGAGGTGCAAGGGAAGGGGGACGAGCGGTAACCCTAGACACCCACCCCGGACCATACTGAAGCTTTCCGAGGCGCATGGTGTTGGCAATTTATCTGTTTCACGCTAAATAATGTTTTATTCTTGAGTAAATTTATAGCCGCAGTAAATGGGGAGTTTTGAAATGGCGGCCAATGGAAAAGGTTGCGTATGTTGATAACGGCTGCAGTCTTTTCTGCTCTTTCACGATTTTCGGTCCATAAAATCTCGGCGTAAACCAAGTAATTATCCACTCCAACGGTACATTGATTTTACTTTCGTTATATAGATTAGTAAGCAGTGCCGCCTAGAACACAGGTCAAATGGTTTTCGTCTCTGTCGGTTCTACGAACTTCTACTGTGTTTGTGGTTTATGCTTTGTTTACCTCAGGATCAATGTAACTGATGGCTAGAGACACCAAATTATGTGGCGGAATGTCGTAAACAGTCTCGCGTATGCATCGTCTCGAAATTTCTGCAACTTGAGTCCACCACATTTCTTTTTCCACCTCGGCACTGCTTTTGACATTCTCATCTTCCGTCTGGTCTTTCATCCAAACGGGTAGTTAAAAGACATCATCTAAAACTACCACGCGAAAGTGCATGATTGGATAGTTTCATCAAACTAAAAGTGATGTTTAACGATAGGGCTATATGTATATATTTCTGTGCTCGAGGATTGTAAAGGTAGATAAAGGTGTAGTAAGGGATAGTGTTCCACAATTTCAGGGTTCCTGTGAAAACTGTTCGGACCCCAGTGATCGGGACTCGCGGGCGAATAAAGACGGAAGAAGAACCAGATTGGTAGGCACTGAATATCAAAAACCCAAGGTAATAACAGTAACAAAGATCGCACGATCGCAAGACGATAGGCAAGTTGTTAGCGAGTGAGTATTACAGAATTGCTTTATGGTAAACATCCCAAAAGTGCCAGAGATGACCAGATGGTCTTGACCCCAACTAGCTTCAATATTCCAGATTTGTACATATATCATATGTTTACCCGATCACATCAAAGAAGACCAATACCATGTTTACAAAACTTTCTACGCGTTTGTGATGATGATAGCAATCTTTGAAGGTGCCTTCGTTGAGCAGATTCAACACGCCACTCACTACTGAAAGCACTCTAGAGCTGTTTCATTCTTGTTAGCACGCATAAGATGTGCATATCCACCTAAACCACTGGGATTCGAACTCGGACACGTGGGATTGTTGACCAGCTTATTTTATCCGGGATGGTTTGCTACGCATTAACATTACCTGATATAGTGTTCATCTGTCACTAATTGACGAATACCCTTTGACAGACAAATTAGATCTCTCAACTGTGGGCGAAGCTCCACTCCAACTCCGACTGCAGTACTCTAGTTTGGTGGCATATTTGAGCCTCGTATATGCGTTGAAGTTTGGATTATGTACAGAAACGCTTCGCGTAAAAATTAAAATTAACCTTTTTAGATTTAGGTGAGGCACGATTCATGCGGAGAACAAGAAAGAAACGAGGAAGTGCGAGCTCCAAGAACATGAAGATATGGGACGATGGAGGGAGCCTCCGAACTTGTGGAAGGACAGCAGTTATTATGGAGTTGTTAAATGATACACAGTTAGATAATCCACAAGCTGTTTTTCGTCCCAGATCTAACTTCATTTATAGGTACACGTCTAATTAATCAATAATGATAAATTAAAAATATGGACCGTTTATAGTATTAGTCTTTTGAATTCCATTTATTTGATATAAACCAAGTAATAGTGGCAACAGTGAGAATTGGGGATAAGAACCAATAGAAGGTTTCCAATCGATAAAGGACAAATTAGGGCAGTGGCGATCGAGTTTCAAGATGTATTTTTTTTACACAGATTTACTGCTTCTCTCCTCGAAATAGTATTCTTTATTATGTTGATGTGCCCGATAATTCTTTCATTTTCGTCGTCCCATTATAGTGCATCATCATGAGACCTCCGTTCACGATCGTCCGAAATTGTGCAATCTTTTCGCATGGATCGTTTCACGAGTCAATCAATCGCAGAGTGAGTGTTGTTCATACATTGAAACTGATGTCATTTGAAGATATTCCGGTGAAGCTTCATTCACACCGTGTAATGCTACGCAGATGCGTTGTCCAGACTTACTTTTTTTCTTTCACTAACCCGTATGCTGTTCCCACTGATTGATTGACTGATTCAATAACTAACTGACTGACTGGCCGTTTCATTAAGAAAGGTTACGGTTGTATAGTCGGTTTACTCATTGAGTTGTTCAGGTTGTCAATAATCACCCAACCACAATCGCATCTTATGAAGGCTTCATGCGGTTCCACACCGCGAATCCCGTGTTAGTCTCCAGTTGCTATATATGGACAAGTGATGTCATTAACTACGGCTCACTGTCCTTGTGATGTTCACCACATTAAGGTATATGATCAAAAACTGGTTAATTTCCGACTGTGCTTCATCTTTGTTATCCTCATCGCATCATCTCACAAAATATTCGCGTCTTTCTTCCATCTACACTCCCCGCTGGACAAGCTCAGTCTGGGTACAGGTAAAATTATGCTGTGTCTGGTGATTCAGGAACAATCGCGTTCTGGCAGCTCTTCACTTACCCCTTTTATATAAATTTTCATCTACTCCTGCTGTGTCTTACGGAAATTCCATGATGTTGAACTTTTTCANCAGTGGTTTGCTCTCACAAGTAGATGACAACAGACAGTAAACACTGGGAGATCCCTAAATTCTACAGCGGATGTAGCTAAGCTGGACCTCAAAATACATGCCCACAATCAAATCAGTCGAAACACTCCTGGTTGCACCTTCAGTACATGGGAAACAAGAAGCTAGACAGCAAAATGAGATATTCTTTTAGTCCTCGAAAATGGGGAGGAATTCACGTAGTTACAAATTTAAGAATGGTTACAGATAATCGAGTTCCTTATGCGATAAAACAATTTAATATTAAGGGATGAAGGTAGCTGCATGACCAACGACGGTAGCGCACCGAAGGAGATAACCGCCCGCATTTCCAAGGCTCGAGCAGCGTACGCAGGACTAAAACACCTGTGACGACGACGTGACGTTTCACTGAAGTTGAAAAGTCGCGTATACTGCGCCACTGTATGATCAGTCCTGCTTTACGGATGTGAGGCCTTGAATTTGCTAGTAGAAAACATTCATCGCCCGGTGGTTTTCGACAATCGATACTTACGTAGTCTGGCCGAAGTGAGATGG